CTTTAGAAATGTGCAAGCTCCAGTGGTTTTCTTTTTAAGTTAAAATTACTGTATCATTTAACTACTGAACTCATATTTCCCTGAGAGGAATTTTTTTTCTGTAGGTATTGAGAGGCTGAGTGAGGAGTTTGGATGTGGGCTCCAATGTGAAGACCATCCTTAACAGTAGATAGGCTGAGGAGCTGGGGAGAGTTCAGAGGTCTAGGTGCCTGCCTGGCAAACACAAGGACCCGGGTTTGATCCCATACCACATGCTATGCTGGCCCTGGAATCCTAGGCACTTCATGCCAGCCACCAAAACTGGGCATGGTGGCACACGCCTATAATCCTAGTGTTGGGGAGGCTGAGACAGGAGTACCACTAGGAGTCTGAGCTGTATAGTGAGACCCTGTATGAAATGAATAAATAAATATTTTTTAAAATGGTAGGCTGAGTTAGAGCACTGTGTTTGAATCACTGGACGTTACTGGGCATTACAGGTAGCAGTAGTACTACTGAGGGAGCTTACTAAATGTGCAAATTCTTATTTGGGAATCAAAATCTGGGAGTCAGCAATCTCTACTTTAGTGCTTGTGCTCTTTGCATGTATACTCTGAAAAAGGGACAAAGTGAGCTTTAGAAAAAGTGGATCAAGCAGTATGATGACTTTCTCAGTTACTTTTCTCATCATTGGGACGAAATAGCTGACACTCAGAAGTAAGGAAGGAAAGGCTTATTTAGTCCACAGTTTGTGGAGGTTTCAGTTCATACTCAGCTGCCTCCAAGGCAGGGTGGCCCATGGCAGAGGGCAGAAATTCATGGCAGCGGAGGACCGCACACTTGCAACAGCAGAAAGAAGGAGCCGTGGCAGCAGAGGCAGAGAGCAAGCCACTCTCCTCTCGTTATGCTGTATCCAGGCTATTTGCTGCAGGCTGGGTGTAGCACTCCTACCCATAATCCCAGCATTAGGTCAAAAATTAATCACAGCCTCTAGAAGTCCATTCCATGACTGCACCAGGCTTTGCTGGCACAAGTAGACACAAACCATCACAGAAACTGTGGCCAGCAGCCACTGGAATGTAGAAAGGATCATCCATGAAAATAACTATGGGAATGGAAAGAGGAGCCAGTCTTTGAAAATAGTGAAAAGCTTTCAGGACAAGAAATTAATAACTAATCCAGGGCATTGCTACACTGAGGATGTTCTAGAAGTTTGGGTGCTGAGTAAGTGAATGTAATGATAAAATCTGATGACACATTTAGAAAACAAAACAAAAGCCCTTGAGAATGAGATTTCTAGACTCAAAGAACTTTTTAGGGAAATAGTTGACACAGATGGCGCAGGAGATAACTGCACATGGGCTGTGGAGTTGGGCGTAAATATGGCATCTGACACCATGAGGAAATGGATTGTGTCAGTCAAAGGGGAAAACCCTCAGCAGATAGTGATTTAAGTCTCTGGGGTTAAGTCTGCTTATCTCCTTGGGAATCATTAGGGAATGATAGGTTCAGAAAGAAAACTGAAATGATCAGTCCAAAAAAAAAAAAAAAAAAATGGAGCATCAATACCAGTGTGCACTTTGCAACGAATGCCAGTAAGAGTTTCACAGATAGATGCTTCAACTTTGTATAGACTAGGGAAGGTAGTTACCTGAGATGTCAGGGTGCAGTGCATAACACATTGGTGTCCGATGTCAGGTGGCCTCCTGGCTGCCTGACTGACATCTTCTTTCCTTTAGGAAACACTGAAAAAACATCATTATACTAATGACTGAATATACTACTAGCTCTCTTCAATCATTAAAGCATATTCCAAAATAAATAGGATTCATTCTTGCCCATAACTGAGTACTAACATAATCATAATCAGATGTTTCTGTGTGGGCTACTTCTGTATTTCAAGTAGAATTAGGCACAACCTTGAATTTCTTCGGTAGGAATAGTAGTCTAAATACAAAATAATTTTCTTCATGTGTTGAGAACATCATTGAAAAAGGGGATCTTACATGAAGGTATTTCAACTACTCTTTTGCCATTAAATCTCAGAAAACTAGGAATTTCTCTTCACTAGCCCTCAGGAGTAGTTTTAGTAAGTTAAAACTTGAAGGAATTCTGTTTTGCTTTGAATAATAGATACATGGAAATATGAAATTGAATAATGTCAGTAAGGATAAAACATTTCATTTTTACAATAGCATTTCCTTTTCTATCATCAAACAAATTATATATATATATATATATATATATTATTTAGGTTTAAAGGATCTCTCTCTCTCTCTCTCTCTCTCTCTCTCTCTCTCTCTCTCTCTTTTGGGTGCTGGGAATCAAACTCGGGACTTCACACTTGTCCCTTGTTGCCCTCAGCCCCTTCTTAATTTTTTTAAAAACTGTGTTGCTAAACTGATAATTTAAATGAAATTCTCTGCCTATCTTCACTGTAACATTTATACAGCCTTTTTTCATCCATACAATAGAGTATAATCTGAGTTAGAAAAGGACCATGGCTTCCATAATATTCCTTAGGCCACTGAGAGACATGGTCGCATGCTTCTCATAAGCGCCACCTCACTGGTATTTTTCAGTGGCAAGAACATCAATATGCAAATGTTCTGGACTCCGCAGTCTGACTTATTTTGTCTGTAAAATATTCAAAGTTGTCAGTAGTGCTGGCCAAGAAAAGTAAGATTTTTTTTCTAGATCATGTGAATATTCACAACAGAATGTTTAAAAATTTTCTGCTATGATTTCATACAAAACAATATCCTGGTGATCCAGAGAGCTTCAAAGAATCCAGATGATTATGTCGGGATAAGCACAGAGAGAGACCAGCTACAACTCTCCCCAGTGCTTTGTGATCTTGTGTTTAGCTGTCTGAAGACAACTCTGGGTTGCACGGTCTGAGTTGCAAGAACATGCTTCATTCTCTTTCTTGCCTTTGGTGGTAAATCAACTCAAATGAGATTTAAGCAAATGAAGTGGAATCTCTGCATGTGTGCACACTGAGGGAAGGAGATTATTACAAGAACTGTAGAAGATTCCGCTGGGTGTGAGGAGCTGTTGTGCACCAGAGTAATTATGTAAGGACTGTGGCATTCAGAGCTGTAGTAGTGGGAATGTAAAGAAAGCAAATTGGTTTGTTCTAAAACTAAATGAAAAGAATATTGGAAGGATCGACAGAGAAATAGTTGGTTAAACTGAATGGTAGTAAATTCACATTTTAATATCTAAATTAATGTTAACGGATTCATCCATGCTATGGGAAAACTAAGTAAATAATATATTTCCTTTTTCCTACAACTGCACTAACTTGCCAGTTTTTCTATCAGTATACTTATACCACCTCCTTTTCATTTTAACATGACATTACAAATATCAAAGAACATTTCTTGTGCCTTTTTGATATAAGATGACTTTTGTTTTTGGTACTTTGCCCAAATTTTTAATCTTTTAGTATTATTTACTCAGTTTTCCATATTTCTGGTATTCTTCCTTTCAAAGAGGCTTCAGTATGACTACCATATTAACAGAGTGTTAAAGATAGCCGTAGGATTCGGTGGTGGAGACGGCTTCCGGGGAGCTGTGGGCACAATCAGTTGCGATGCTCACACCACATGGGGACTTGCAGTCGGGAAAGAAGACAGAAACATCTAGAGTGATGGCAGGTCGTGGGTGGTGCGGAACAGGAGGCAAAGCTGCCGGGATTGTTAGACAGCGTGAAGCCCGTTCCACTTATGCTAACAGTAAGGAGACTGCACTAAGACAGATCTCCACGCTTCTTAGTGTTATCTGATAAACACAAAGGCCAACCTCAGGTTCCCTCACTGCCAGTTCTCAAGCTTTATAATCTGTTACAAAGAATGAACTCTGGCTATGACAGAGTCTTTTTAGGCATTTATTTTGTACAAGATTTAGCTGATTTTCTTTAACTGATGACATTCACAACAGAAAGATTGAGAGCTAATTGAGTAAGCATCAGTTAAACATGGCACTGTTAACTGCATATTGAGAATGCGCCAAGGGATAATTACCTTGAGTTACAGTGTTGGTTCAATTGGCATTATATTCAAGTGTGCCAAATTAATTGGTGATATCAATTATTATTCAAGAATACCATGTATTAAAGGGCTCCTGCCTAACAGATTGCAAAGTATAATATATTGACATTATGGGTCAGTCCTTATTTTTCTACTTTTGAGCAGGTGGTTAGACTACATGCATGGTAAATATACTGTACTGCAGAGAATCAGTCATTGCACCCTCCGGTGTATTCCAGGGTGAAGCTATTAAACATTACATCAGGAAATTACAAAGTACAGCCGTAAAGTTCTTTATTGTTGGAAAGCCATCATTACTGTAGTACTTACTAGGTATTTACCACCAGCCTGTAAAACCTACCACGCCAAGTTTCACAATAATCTCATTAACACTGAGTGTTACTGAAACAATTTAGTGGAGGAGACCATCCGAGGGGTGATAACAAGGCATAAAAGGAAGTTGTTTCAAAAGAAGATGCTACATCATCTAATGTTCAGATTTGTCCACAAAGCTAAAGAAAAGTTTTCCTTACTGTTTATTCTTAAATAATGTGTCTGTTGTAATTTGGCTTTTAACTCTGCTTAAAATAAAAATATACCTATTCTGATCACATTTTCTTTTAAGCTGTACTTGGAATTACTTGAAAAATGCAGCAGGTAGGTGCTGTTCAAATGATCACCCCCAGTGAAATTCATTCCCAAAGACATGGTTTTGGAGCTGAAAGAGGAGGCTGAGGAGACAGATGGTGTTTATAGTGCATTAAAAACCTCAGCATTAACTTTCAAACAGAAAGACATGAGGTCTTGGCAGCATCCCCACACCGAAGCACTTTTCATTGATTGGTCTGAACCATTTTCTCTCTTTCATGCCGTGCTTTTCCACCACGCATACTACTTAAACACCAACAAATCTGCAATTGACCTTTTCATAGCTGTACACTGAGATGCTTACCAGGGTGTTCTTAATCTTTGTCAATTTCTTTCCAGACAGAGCTCTTTGTGCATGCCTTCAAGGACCAGTTGGTCAGGAGTGCTCTTTTGGCCCTCTACACTGCCAGGCCAGGCGGCATCCTTAAGAAACCGCCCTCTCCTAAGGGCAGCCCGGAACAGGGCCCTCCGCAGGACCAGCCCTCACCGGTGCAAGGGCAGGACTCCATCCCGCACCACTCAGACTATGACGAGGAGGAGTGGGTAAGCCTTCCGCCTGCCACCTGCTTCTCCTCTCTGTGTAGCCCTGAGAATGCAGCATACATGATTTTAAAAATAACTGCTATTTTTACCAGAATACCTGGAAAGCAGTCCTACTACAAATTATGAATAAATGTGTCATGCTTTTCCTTAGGGAGAAATTATATTTTGAAATTGGATTTCTGAAAAATTTATTTGATAAAATAAATGATGGTCATACTATGTTTGGGAGAAATTATGTTTTGATATTGGATTTCTGAAAAAATTTATTTGATAAAATAAATGATGGTTATAATATGATTAGATAGACCTGATTCATTTGATAGTGTCAGAAATTTGTTATTAAATGAATCCTATGTATAACCAGGGTATCACCAATGCAAAGATACCATAGTTACAAGCTCTATAACATATTTCCTTTTTTACTGCCAAATCATGCAAAAATATTAAAATGACATTTGAGAAGAACAGTCCCAAATCATCTCTGTGACTACTACTCATATACAATGAGTATTTTCATTGTTATAATCCAGTGTTTTACTGCTGGGCATGCTTTAAAGTATTTGCATTTAAATTACAGTAGACATGAGCTCTCTCAAATCTCTCTTGTTGATGCTTTTGATCTGACAGAAGATGTCACTATGTGTACTTTTGAAGTTTTTAAGCCCATAGAAGCAACTGAAAAGCAATAATGAGTTTGGGGAAATAGAGGAAGGAAGCAAAGGGAAGAGCTCTAATAGAGCAAGAGGAACACAAAGGTGACAGGTGGCATGGAGGACAATGTGTTAGCGGTCAGTGAATATGAATTACCCAAGAACCCTCCAAATTATATTTCTATAAACATACATGCACACTTACGCACACACAGGGAAATGTTTTCCTGTATGATCTCTTTAACAAAAATATGGGCTGAGGCCGGCGAGATAGCTCAGTGGTCTGAAGTGCCTGCTTAGGCAAGTTTAGACAAGTGCAGTGACCACAGTTCGATCCCTGTCACCACGTGTTGTGCCAGTCATACCCCCAGAGAGTGCTGAGCTGGCCACAAAATAATGTGCTAGATGCATAAGACGTTAAGCTTTGAATTAATAATTTCTTCTCAATTTGGAATTTAAGAGTATATGGGGAGCAAGATATTTGAGAGGCCCAAGCCTCTGAAAAAGTTCCTGTCCAAGGGGCTTTGAGGTGATGCTTGCTGATTCTTTTTGTGAAACTTCTATCATAGGACAAAAAAAGAGATGCACACTGAGACGTAGATGCTGATTATGTGTTTGTTTTGCTGATTAGGATTACATTTCTCCCACTGAAGCACTTTTAGAAGAACAAATCTAGTATTTCTCCCCTTTTCCTTCACCTTCTTCAATTTATTCACAGCTCCAAGGAGCACATGCCTCTTAACCTCTTGGAACTTCAGTTTTCTCAACTGGAAAATAAAAATAGCCCCTGTTCTGCTTAGCTCTTAGGATGGTCATGAGATAAATGGCTTATCAAGGTGGTGATGTTGGATTGCCTGCTCAGGCCTAGTGCAGGCAAATTTATTATATTAGTTCATATTGTTACATGCTTTCTCTTTTGAGAATATATGACTTAGATAATCTTATTGTGAGAATCAATTCTATTCCTTGAATAAAGATA